GTTATTGCAGTGTGCCATCACTTCCCTTTAATACGTTGTTTCCTAACCTTCTGTTATGGTGGTGTATCCCGTATTCCTCTTATTGTGATGTTTTCTATGATCCTCATATTGTGATGTCACTTGAGTTCCTGTTATTATGTTTCATGAGTTCCTGTTATTGTGATGTCACCAGAGTTTCGGTTATTGTGATGTCACCCGTGTTCCTGTTTTTGTGATGTCTCCTGAGTTCCTGTTATTGTAACGTCTCCTGAGTTCCTGTTATTGTGATGTCTCCTGAGTTCCTGTTATTGTCATGTCACCAGAGTTTCGGTTATTGTGATGTCACCAGAGTTTCGGTTATTGTAATGTCTCCCGAGTTCCTGTTATTGTGATGTCTCCTGGGTTCCTGTTATTGTAAAGACTCCAGAGTTCCTGTTATTGTGACGTCTCCTGAGTTCGTGTTATTGTGATGTCTCCTAACTGTCAGTTAGTGTGATGTCTTTTGAGTTTCTGTTATTGTAATGTCTCCGAGTTATTGCTACATGTTCAGAGTTCCCGTATCTGTATTTGTCACGTGATTCTTTTGATGGGACCGGATCACCTTTTAATCTAAATTCTCTCAAGTTAAGTTAAATAATTTTAATGTTCGGTGCTGTTGATAATATGACATTTTGAATTTCTGTTATTGTGATGTCTCAGAAATTCTTTTATTATCATGTTTACACGAAAATTCTGATTCCATTTTTAATCGCTGCTTACATGTTAGTTTTAACCTCGGTAAAAGAAACAAAAATCAGTCTCTCGTCCCAAAATTTCAAGTTCAGAATATTGACATGTATTTGACGCTATCATAACTTTTTTATTTTACTTAGCCGTCTCTTAGATTTCAACAATTTATGACCCTCACATCATTTGCGAGTCCTAGAAGGACGAAACAGCTGTGAGATGAAGCATCACTGACGAGTTCCAGAAGGACGAAACAGTTGTACGATGTAGCATCATTGTCGGTTCCTAGAAGGATGAAACAGCTGTATGATGTAGCATCATAGTCGGTTCCTAGAAGGATGAAACAGCTGCATGATATAGCATCATTGTCGGTTCCTAGAAGGATGAAACAGCTGTATGATGTAGCATCACTGACGAGTCCTAGAAGGACGAAACAGCTTTGCGATGTAAGCATCACTGACGAGTCCTAGAAGGACGAAACAGCTTTGCGATGTAAGCATCACTGACGAGTCCTAGAAGGACGAAACAGCTTTGCGATGTACGCATCACTAATGAGTCCTAGAAGGACGAAACAGCTTTGTGATGTAGCATCACTGATGAGTCCTAGAAGGACGAAACAGCTTTGCGATGTAAGCATCACTGACGAGTCCTAGAAGGACGAAACAGCTTTGCGATGTAGCATCACTGATGAGTCCTAGAGGGACGAAACAGCTTTGCGATGTAGCATCACTGACGAGTCCTTGAAGGGAGGAACGGCTGCATAATGTAGTAATTGATCAAAGTTTTAGTTTGTTATATCAGGAGTCCTAGACCTCATTTTGTGATATGATGCTGGACGTGTTTGATGCTCGTTAAGTTTTACTGTTGATTCCGATGTTGCTGGATACCTTGTTCTCATTTAGGAGCGTGACATTTCTGACCAGGGTCATGATTAACAAGACGGGTGTCGTCAATGGAGCAGACGTTTCACCTCACGGGAAAACCCAGTATTATTCGCTGCTGTGCGTGTTTTCCTCTTGTTCATATTTTGCCAAGGTTTCATCGAATTTGAATTTTATCAACTTTCTGTTGAGGGTTCTTTGACGAATGTTACATAAAGATCGCCAACGTTCTGGGATGCTTATTGTGCTGAATTGTGGTTTTTCCACATACATTAATTCTTATGTCAAAGAGTATATGCTATAAAATGACACATAATATAACTAAATATCATTGACTTCTACTCATTTCTGAAATAAAATGTAAATGAAATAATCTCGTGTTTTGAATCTGAAGAAATTCTATCCCCGCGAAAATTTACGATTTTTACAGTATACTTGACGAGAAATGACCTGGATTTTCTATTTCAATTTTTAGAATTGATCATGACTATACGCAATTTCAAAATTCAGAACACCGTGTAAATAAGTTTTTTCTGCTGGTAAACCAGAATTTTTCATCAGAAAATTGTCGCCTTTGTGTATTGTGCCCGGTGTCTTCTCTCACGGTTTTACCAAGGCAATCATAATAAAAAGATTGTTTTATTCTTCCAAATTACAAGCAACATTATCCTCCTCCTTAATGCGAAATATCGGATTGTTTCAATTATCAGGAACGAAAATTTGGTGAAAAATGAGTCTACCGAACTAGTCAGCGACTGAAAGAGACATTGAACTTCTGTTTGGAAAGCAAATGGTATGCATTTAATTAGGAGTGGAACCTAAGGGTACAAATGTGTAATATCAGATGTACTTTAAAGGAATTTTCTTATTTTTAACTGCCATCTTTTTTATTAACTCGTTGACTTTAAAGAATTCATTACTTCAAATTTTCCATGAAAAAAATTGTGGTAAATTTCCTTGATGAATGTATCTCCTTAACTGCTATTAGGCTTTTGTGTAGACAGACTAACCTAAATGAACGTTCGTGATGCATAAAGCTCCTAAACAGACCATTTATATTGGCGAACTGAGAACAAAAAGGTTGCGAGATTGGTATAAAAAATATGCCAATAAAATCGTAATTCAATCTCCAGTTCGACATAACGAAGTGAAAATAGAAACAGAGGCAAACTTCACTCAGAAACCAGGTATTGTTGTGTAAATCTTACGAAATCCATGTAATGTAACCCTCTCATAATAGGAACCGCGTTTACAACCAACACCTCCAACTTCATGGCGCACAAGGACTTAAAATGTTTCCAATGAGACCAGGAGACTACCACGATAATGTTCGATAGTCTTTGTCGATGTACATCCCTGTTATTTTAACGGGAATGATTGAAACTGGAGATTTTCATCTTCGTGTGTAATACAAGTCTTTAATTAATTCTTTTAACTCACATACACATACATTATTACGTACGTACAAGGACTAGAGTTACACTTCAACATTACTGGGGTAACCACTGACGAGTCTTAGAAATACGAAACAATTCTGTGATATAGCACACCCTCCACAATTTGACTCTACAGTATCAAATTCTAAATTTGCATCAATGAAGTGTTATTCATCTTCTGTCAATCCTTAGTCACTAAAACGCTTTACTTTAATGACAATGAATGTTGGGCATAAATTTTCTGTCATCCGAGTATTGCAGGTCACGAAACTAGGATGGGACAGCTAAGCCAAATGAAAATATATCCTGTTTGTGGTCCTACACTCACATTTGTAAGGTAATTTTCAATGAAGCACTGTTAAAGTTAATTTGAGATCTGCCATCTTTAAAAACCATCTAATTTTTTTTTTTCTGAAAAATGCCTACCTACCGACCCTATTTTTAAATAACATTTTACAGGAAATAAATATATCTTTTCTCTACTGTCATATGTTTTATGTTGAAGATGTCGAGCTGAGAAAGATAAACTTACAACACAGGATTTTTAAAATGTGCAGGTCGATGAACGGCTTTATGATCTCGTAGAGAAATAATCTGTTAGCTTGTGTGATATGAAGTTGTTTGTGTTTGATGTTCTGTAGAATACCAGGGGTTCCAATGATGTAATCATTTGTTCTCATTATTTGGAAACGTGACATTAACTACTTGGAATGGCAATGACTTACATGTACATAACAGGTGCCCGTGATTCTTCATATCACTAAGCGTTGGCGGCAGAGCGACAATCCCCGTCGTAGCAAGGGACGCAATCCAAACAATAATTGACAAACTCAGAACACGAAAACAGGTTCGCACCCTGTTACTCTATCACCGACATCGGTACCTTGCAGGAACACGTGAATAACACATCGCTGTAACCGCTGGAAATTCGAGGTCGAGTAATATCCTGGAGGGGGATTGTGTAACCCTGGTGAATGCTATAAACCAGATGTCACGTGTTCGAATCCTAGCGGAGGCAATGCAATAAGCTAGATGTCACGTGTTCGAATCCTAGCGAAGGCAATGCAATAAGCTAGATGTCACGTGTTCGAATCCTAGCGAAGGCAATGCGACAAATAAAGGCCACATTTACACAAATCTTTAAGACATTTTTAATATCATAATAATCAAATATCTGAAGCTGTACACAAAAAGCAGTAGATGACTGGAGTACAGACTCTCCGTCATGATGTATATACAACACACTGAATCAGTAGAGCTAATAAGATATTAATTTGTGTCTTATAGGATACATGAAGTACAGATTTAAGTTCTTGATATTTATAAAAATCAACATCAGCCTTATCAGGGATATATATATATTGTTTATCATGACAATATACATTGTATACAATATGGGAACATCTTTCACACAGGCCAAGAAAGAATTAGAAAACATGATTTTTTTTGTTTAAGAATGAAATAAAACTGTTTGGAAATATATAGATTACTGTGCATAGAATGAAAAAATCGTTTCTTAGAATTCATAAATTTTTATAAAATTTTAAAGTTTTAATGAAATATATAAAACATTTCTTAAATGAAAAAATGTGAATTACATAAAGAATGTCTACATTTCATTAAATATATAAAATTGTTACAGAAAATTGGTTGAAGTAACAAGACTCGAAAAAAAATTTCTTTAATAAAATGACACAGATGTTATATATTTACATATTATACAAGAATGTGTACATGATTATACAAATGATATTTCTTATTAGCATGTTAATGAACAATACATTTACACATGAGTCAGCAGACAAAAGTTGTAATCTTAAGAACAACCAACTTCTAATATCATAGTGTAATGAGACAAAATGGCACAATATTTGAATATATCAGAGCCAGGTAACTGTGTTGACACTGTTAGATTCGGACTAGAAGTGTGTAGACATTGAAGAAACATCAGTGTACATACACCCTTCTTGTTAACTGTCTAGAACGGCTCTCGTCCTTCTGGGCCCAACTTGGGCCGTGGTATATGGCCATTCCTGTAAAATTAATGTGTGACAAGCTTTAACTATTTTTCTAGAATATTTTTGTTCTATTTCTTCATAATTCAGAATCCAGAAATAACGATGATTGTGGTTTCCTAATTATCAATGGATCAAACCACATCAACTGTTTCATCGCGGTAACCAGTAATCAATTTATCTTTCTGAAGAAAATTTTTTTTTTTTTGAATCTGACCCCAAAAAAGTACCTGCATACTATACCCAAGTGTGCACTATACCCGCAAATTTACGGTAAGCAAAAAAATGCTCAAATTTCCTTCTAATTCCAGAAGTTCATATAAAAAAAGGTTAACTGTCGGCAACATCTGACCTTGAAATAAAACAATTGACCTTGTGCTGTAATATATAACACATTATTACAATCTTGACCTTGACCTATTTTCAAAAATCAATAAGTTTTAGCAAATTCTCAGAAATCCCTGCCTCAAATCTGATGATCTACCAAATCTCATATTCTTGAACTGTAATTTATTTAAAAAAGACAATTATGATTAAATTTTAATTAAATTTAATCGACCGTGATCTGTTGTCCTTCAGATGAAAAATGACGTTGACCTTACCATTTGTATGCATCCTGATCTGATGGGTTTGTTGTGACCTCCACAGGATAGCGATGTTCTGGATGGCCACCATCATATGCATGGTTGTGATAATTTCCTCGGGTATAATCAGATGGTGTGCCATTCTGGATGTAACCATTTCTCTCATTCTGATAATTATATTGGTTGTCATAATCTGTATTTCTATAAAGAAGACAAAAATGGAAGAAATAGTTTTAAAAAATGAATGAAAAAACGCTTGGTCTGTTCTAACTCTAATTGAAACAAATGACTTGGAAAAAGTTTACAGAAAAAAAGTCAAAGACATACAAGTTTGCATGCAAAATCTCTAGTGGATTTTGTCCCTTTTTTATTCAACTCATATGAAAACCTTATTTTCATCTTCTATGAAAGTCCAGACTTCATTGTGATAAATTAATACAGATTCAAAACCATGATATTCAAATTAACCTATCACTCAAACCATTTAAAAAAAAAAGTTTCTATTTTGATTAATTTTTCAAAATTGTACATTTTAAAGCTGATTGATTTATGTTCTTCTGACAATTTTTGTCATTTAAAGAAGAAAATTAATTTTTAGTAGATTTATTATTTTCGAGTTACCTCCCTTCGTGTAGATTTTTGCAATAATCAAGTTACAGACAAAGCTCCAGTATTCCAATTTATGCCAATATTGTCATATTAAAATTCCCTAAAAATAATATGCTAACTAAATGTATCACCAGATTAGTTTTTATTAATGTAAATGCAGACAACTTATTTACATTCTGTTTTTATTTCTTTGATGACCATAGTTATCATTTGCTAGTTAAAATTCTATAACATTACACAGACATGCATCATATTTAGGAAAAGAACAAACTAAAAGCTTTCATGATAAAAAAATTTTTTTTTATCCCTTTTTCAGTTTCAACCCTGGGGAAGAAATTCTGGAATTGTCAGACCAGCTTAACCAGAGTGAACTTCTCTTTAGCTTGATTGCTGGAGCCTAAGGCTAGTAAACCCTGGAGGTTCTGGGTTTGATCTCTCGTGGAGGCATTGAAATAATTGATGACTTTTGTTACAATTCAATCACAAATTTACCTCAGCAATTCTGATGCTACATTATATCATCTTCAAATTAAGAATTTCTAGTGCACAGTTTTAAAACAAAGTATTTACACCAAATCCAGATTAGTTGATCCTCAACCATGAATAATTAAACATGCAGGTTAGAATGTTAATAATTGTTTAAAACACCATCAACACAGCACAGGAACAGTGCTTACAAGACAAATTAAAGTATGAAATCTGTGTACTGCTAAAAAATAACTTGTTAAAAAGTCAATATTTTCTCGTATGTGAAGTAAAAATATTAGGTCAAACTTTTGTAACCAAAAAACTCAAAGAAAATAAAGAAAATGCCTGCAAAATCAAGAATATGTGAACAAATGAACTCAAAGTTGTGAATGAAAAATCATTTGAAAACCATTAACTCTGACGGTCATGGTTTCAAACTGACCTGTATTTAGACTTATCTCCCCTTTGGTAAGGGGCTGGTCGTGATATTCGGTGTTTATAAGGACCACTGCCCCTGTGAACCATGGGAGGTGGATAATACGCATGCTCAACATGATGGTTTATTGCATAAGGTGGAAACCGACCACTGTCCGAGTCAGAATCTTTTTCGCTGAAATAAATTGTTGATATACAGAAAAAACATGCAATATAGTAAATTTGGATGAAAATAACCTTGAATTTTTCAATTTCTCTCTGATCACGCAACTTAGAGATGAAAAGTCCAATCCGATTTTTTAAAATCATTTTTAAATTAGCAATGTGGAAGGCTATTGAAAACACATTTAAAGAGGTTACCAAACAGTTTGTAAAAGATAATTAACAAGGACTGTAGCACTCTATACAAATGAAAAATGATCTAATCCTCATCGCAAGTTGTGTGAGATTTTCTCCCAAAACAGAAATATAATGAATATAAGCATTACTTAAGACATAAAAAGTAATTGAATAACTTTAAAGTATTTTTACTAAATTATGTTCTTGTAAGTTTTTATTCAGATGGTCTGTAATCATAAGTTATCATACACATTCATTCAACACAATTATTGTACGGTAATTTTTTTTATATTTGAGTTCCGTTAAAAGTGAAACTAATTACAGTTAAACTTTATTATTTCGAAGTTGGCAGGATTGTTGGAAAAATTTGAGTTATCCGTGTTTTGATTAACAGAGATTGAATGTTACGCGTCAGATGAAACTTTTCATCTAACAAGGGTTGGCTGTAAAAATGTATCCAGTCGTAGCCTATATGTTTCACATTGTAGTTTTTGGTACCAAGGAATTTAATAATAACAGAGAATTGTCAATTACATTTACTGGGGAATTAACTTTTAACCAAATCTGAAGAGAAAGCTCCATGGTCACTCTATCTTGTAAACATAAGGGAGACAACTCCAACGTGAAAAAAACATTTTAGCTCAAAATTTGAACTCTCCTACTTTGCCTATAGAGAAGCGGTACTGCTCTCTAAATTTTAAATCTGATGATCTGTAAGTATTTCTGTGAAAACTTGACATTGATCTACATGTAGATCTGGATCTATTCCTACATTTTATAAACACTTATATTATTCACCCTGGAGAGATGAGGAGTTAAAGGTATGTATTTATACAGCAAATATTATGATTTAGAAATTTTCAAAACTTAAAAAATTTGAATTTTTTAACAGTTCTAAAATTCTAAATATTTTCTAAAATTGCTGAAACAGGAATATGATAACAGAAGGGAAAGAAAGACGCAAGAAAAGTCGGAGGTTGGAATAATATCATTTTAAAATTTAATTCACGCTGATATGATATAGAATGCAAAGCATTAGAATTCAGGTACTGTCAATCAGTTATATTTTCTGTGGGATTTATTTTCGCATTAACAGGGGAGGAGATTCAATCCCGAATGCAAATCTTTCATGATTATTTATACACAAATACCTCTGGATGGCATCTGTGTTGGTTCAGTTACTGATATTAGAGTCTTGAAGAATCATTGGGTCTCTAACAACTAATCAATCACCAATTTAAACTCATGATAGATCAGCGTTTTACAATATCATGTATTTGCAGATATGTCTGAAGAAATAAGTTTGTGCAGTAAAATATTCATGAAATCTGAAATATTTACTTTTTAGGAACATTTTCCAGAGATAATCTTTACAATAACATTTAAAATGTGTGTCACGATAGATTCAGATTAACCCGAAACTGACAATCAAAAATAAACAAATAAAACATTCATTTTTTCAAATAGAAGCAAGATTACACTTTACTCCATACTTAAAAATTTTGCTTACACTTTGATAAAAAATATTCTTTCACTTTTTCAGTAAAGCCTACCAGTTACCCAGACTTCATCACTAACTATAATAAGACATATGTGTTCGTAGAATTTGTGGGTGGTTGAAAAAGAAACCATCACAAGTCATGATAAATAAACTCCTTGAATTTCTGTTGCCTTGCATTTTAAACAACAAATTCTATCAACAAACATACTTCATTTCAACTTCTTTATCAACTGTTAAGTAATACAATAAAATAATCAGATGCTCATTATACTTAGTTATCAACAAAATAAAGAAATGTTCCAAGGAACCTAAATAGAACCTCCTCCACCCTAGACACTGAGTCAGAGCTCAGCTGCTAGCCACCTCCCTCCTCCCTAAATAGAACAACCTCCTCCACCCTAGACACTGAGTCAGAGCTCAGCTGCTAGCCACCTCCCTCCTCCCTAAATAGAACAACCTCCTCCACCCTAGACATTGAGCCAGAGCTCAGCTGCTAGCCACCTCCCTCCTCCCTAAATAGAACAACCTCCTCCAACCTAGACATTGAGTCAGAGCTCAGCTGCTAGCCACCTCCCTCTTCCCTAAATAGAACAACCTCCTCCACCCTAGACATTGAGTCAGAGCTCAGCTGCTAGCCACCTCCCTCCTCCCTAAATAGAACAACCTCCTCCACCCTAGACATTGAGTCAGAGCTCAGCTGCTAGCTACCTCCCTCCTCCCTAAATAGAACAACCACCTCCAACCTAGACATTGAGTCAGAGCACAGCTGCTAGCCACCTCCCTCCTCCCTAAATAGAACAACCTCCTCCAACCTAGACATTGAGTCAGAGCTCAGCTGCTAGCCATCTCCCTCCTCCCTAAATAGAACAACCTCCTCCACCCTAGACATTGAGTCAGAGCTCAGCTGCTAGCCACCTCCCTCCTCTCTAAATAGAACAACCTCCTCCACCCTAGACATTGAGTCAGAGCTCAGCTGCTAGCCACATCCCTCCTCCCTAAATGGAACAACCTCCTCCACCCTAGACATTGAGTCAGAGCTCAGCTGCTAGCCACATCCCTCCTCCCTAAATAGAACAACCTCCTCCACCCTAGACATTGAGTCAGAGCTCAGCTGCTAGCCACCTCATTCCTCTCTAAATAGAACAACCTCCTCCAACCTAGACATTGAGCCAGAGCTCAGCTGCTAGCCACCTCCCTCCTTCCTAAATAGAACAATCTCCTCCACCCTAGACACTGAGTCAGAGCTCAGCTGCTAGCCACCTCCCTCTTCCCTAAATAGAACAATCTCCTCCACCCTTGACATTGAGTCAGAGCTCAGCTGCTAGCCACCTCCCTCCTTCCTAAATAGAACAACCTCCTCCAACCTAGACATTGAGTCAGAGCTCAGCTGCTAGCCACCTCCCTCCGGTCTAAATAGAACAACCTCCTCCAACCTAGACATTGAGTCAGAGCTCAGCTGCTAGCCACCTCCCTCTTCTTAAATAGAACAATCTCCTCCACCCTAGACACTGAGTCAGAGCTCAGCTGCTAGCCACCTCCCTCCTCCCTAAATAGAACAACCTCCTCCACCCTAGACATTGAGTCAGATCTCAGCTGCTAGCCACCTCCCTCCTCCCTAAATAGAACAACCTCCTCCACCCTAGACATTGAGTCAGAGCTCAGCTGCTAGCTACCTCCCTCCTCCCTAAATAGAACAACCACGTCAATCCAGCATATCAAAATAAGATAAGGATTTATTTTGGTCAATTAAAGACCACATGACATGTAATTTAATCTACTATGTTAGATATTAATGATGTTATTCACATCCCACTACATTGTAACATGTTACAGTTAGCACTACCATAAATATAATGTTAAGTAATACAGGTGCTGTAAATGTACCTAGTTTTTGCAGGTTCAAATTTTAGCGCATCCCGTTAATCAGATCAGAACAGAATTGATTTAGTAATTGATTTAACCAAAATACATTTACGACAGAAAAATACTTAAAAAGTATGAAAAGCACAATTATAATTTAGCACAAGGTATACAGCACAAAATGTGCTAAAATAAGACTACCATTACTTTGGCACATTTACAGTAATTATGATTGTGTTACAAGTTACCATCAAAATATTTCCCTTAGTTTGTGATTATAGGAATCATAACCACTGCAGGGTTTGGTGAAATATGAGAACCTATTAGAATTATGGACACACCATGTACTTAGGTCATTAATTTTTTTTTATAATAATTATTTCGTTGAAAAAAAAAAAAAAAAAATTCTGATTGATATTTCAAAACAATTGATACAGAGACAGTTACACCATTAATTTGATAGTGGTTCAGTAAGCCCTCGGTATCACACACTTGGTTACCACATGGTATTCAGTGTGGATAGGAAGCAAGGCAGTCACTCGCAACAAGCTTGGGATAAGTTAGTCTTTTTCATTATCACCATTGACAGGTACTTGAACCTAGAACTTCTGGCTTCAGGACCTTGAGAAGCAAGATTGGTCAGCTTTCTTACAAGGGCTGATTGATAAGTTGTGAGCCTCATATTTAAGGGTTTGACTTTTGGTGGACATATTGCATTATTTTTCAACATAATCCCCTTCAGTATCTATACACTTTTGTCAATGATGTTTAACAGCCTCAATGAAATCCTTTTCTTGACTGTTCAAAAAGTCCTTCACTACATGTATGACGTCATCATCAGACCGAAAGTGGGTACTGAAAATGAACATTTTCAATTTTGGAAATAAATGTCTGATGGAGTGAGATCAGATAAATAAGGTGGATGCTCGATCAATTCAAAGCCACAATCATTTACAGCAGCCATTACAATGATAGACTTGTGACCAGGGACATTGTCCTGGTGAAATGACACACCTTTCCCAAGTTTTCCGCTCTTAAACTCTTGAGTTTAATTTTTTCTTTAAACTGCTGAAGAACTGATGCATAATATATGCCATTGATAGTTTGTCCCTTTTGCAGATAATCTACCACCAGAATACCATCAGCATCCCAGAAAACTGAGGTCATAACCTCTCCAGCTGATGGAACAGTCTTTGTCTTGTTCCATGAAAGTGAACCAAGGTACATTGTTTTGATTGTTGTTTGGCCTCCTAGGTGAAAAGATAGACCCATGTTTCATCTGTAGTCACAAATCGCCGCAAAAATTAGCAGGATCTGCCTCTAAAAGGTTCAGATTAGCATGTAGCAAAGTCCGCCTGGTGTGCTTCTAATCAACTGGCAGAAGTCTTGGTATCCAACGGGCGGTGTGCTTACTCATTGCAAGATCTTTGGTAAGAATGGAGTGTACTCTTTTCTATTAAATTCCAACTGTAACGGTCATATGTCTCCCTGTAACTCGCCTATCAGACATAACATCATGACTTCATTAACCATTTCTGGGGTTGCAACAGTGACAGGCCTTCCAGGACGGCATCATCCCCAATGCTCTGCCTGCCACGCTTAAATTCCACCACCTACCTTTTCACTGTAGCAATCTAAAGGAGCATCATTCCATAGTGCTGCTACCATATCAGTATGGCTATCCTTAGGTGCTAGACCTTTCTGACATAAATATTGAATCACTGCTATTTTGTCCCTTTTGCAAAAGTCACCTGCCTTGCTCACTTTAGAGTGCTACCTCTCCAACATAAACAGACCAAATAACACCAGTGTTTGGATACACAGCCTTAGATAGTCAGAAAGCAGTAGAGCAGAAAAAGGACACCCCTGCTTCACTTCTTCAATACAAGGCTCACAACTTATCAATCAGCCCTCACACCAGTAGAGCTAACAATTGGCTAAAGGGGAAGTATTTTCAACTGTAGTCGAACCTACTTATCTTGAACTTGGCAGGACCATGGGAGACTTCCATATAACTGATGGTATCCCGTTTAAATGAGTTGAAATTTTTTTAGTAAATTAAGGCAGGGACCTATCAAATGCTTCAAACTATACGGGGTCTTCAAAATATACGAGTTAAAGATAACAAAGTTTGACTATATATATATGTATAGCCAGTCTTTTGTCTATACTGACTGGTAAAGGACAGTTTAGGAAAGCTGTGCTGGACACAGAGAATGCAGTTTGATATATTAGTATCCCCTGGGACCAACTGTATTATAGCAGGTCACAAAACTACAACAAATATTATCTAATAACATACACAATTTTAGTGATTATAAAACTTGGTCACATTTCTATTTCATGTCCCTTTTTAAAATAAATATTGAAAATTTGAATTTAATAGCTTGTATTAATAAAGCATTCCTACACCTCCAGCGAGTGCTACATGGACTACAGAATCTGTAAGCAAGTGCTGCATTATGTTATCCACAAGGGAACCTCAGAATGAATTTGCTCCACGATAACAGATTTGATAAACCAGAAGGAAATTTCATTTATCATTTAGATAGCAAAATCAAATATCTGAATCAGAAAGTTTTGTAATTTTCATATATGGTTTATCTTAAGGTTCCACTGTGTAAAGGAGACTACAAATCTCTTACATGGTTTTCTTTGTGTCCTCTCTGCAGTTGAACAACAAGGGAGATAATCAATGGCAATGTTTGAGATTAAGGGAGATAATCCATGTAAAACATCCAAGGAGATAACAAAACAGACTTTTAGTCACAAAATATTGAGTGACAAAATAGGCTATTTTTTTTAAACTTTCTTTAAAGAGTTTTTATGTGTTTGATACGGTAAAGTCTTTTTGATTTAGAGAGAGAAATCAAATAACGATGCAAATGCTGTTTCCATGACCTTCAAAATTGAGTTCTACACAGGTCATAGGTCATCTAGTAATTCCAAACTCTGACCTATCAAATAACCTTCATCATGGGTCATATACTATGTGTAGGTCATCGCAAACACAGAAGTTCAATACACATGTACCTCTGTACAATGTATGATTTAATATCAATGACCCTGATGACCATAATTATAACAGACTATACTTCATTACAATACATGATGGACTAATAATGACAATGACCAATGGTTGGTCATAAGTTCGACTATACATGTGACATACTAACCTGTGTTGTCGGCGGCTGTGCCGATATATAACAAGGGAGATAATCAAGACGAGGCAGATAAGCAGCAATATAATACACGATGCAGCGACACCTATCACCAACTTCTCATAAGTGTTTAATTCTCCAGTCCCTGCAATAAAACAGTCAATAACTTTAATGACGAACAGTTATGAATTATTTTCCAATTATCTCTATTCTTTTACAACGGTGGTGTTGACAAACATCCTATACAACAGAGATTTTTACCTATACACTTCCGGTATTGAAAATAAACTAAAGCAGAAGTAATTATCTATTTTCAAGTGTAAACAACAAGGATTTGAAGTAAACAACAATGACTTTAAATTGAGTAGGAATAATTTGTTTAAGTGTTCTGACAAGGTTGTCATTTTCAATTTTTTAAGTTTTACTCAAAAAGGACATTAATGAATGCTTCATATTAATCTATATTTAGATAATTTTGTTTTGTGTCAAATTTTACCACTGCAGTTGCATAAGTACAGAATACTCACAAGCACATTTTGGTTGGGTGGTATCACTCCAGACACTGGTATTTAGACATGTGACATTTTGTGGACCAATCACACGATGTCCGAATCGTTTACAGCCGACAGTGACGACAGTGCCGTGGGATGTGTTGTATGTACTAAGGTCAATAAGGACATCTGTAACCTGGGCGATCACATTACAGGAGGCTGTCAACAGAGAAATTAAAAACAATATATATTTACTATTGTATACAGATGGGTAATTACATAGTACAATAAAACCAATGATGAATAATTGTAAACCCAAAAGCAACTCAATTATTTTTGCAGGATCACTAATTTGACAGTAAACAAAAATCAGTTTAAAAGTAAGCCCTCCCCTAACTTTGATACTTCAAATACTATAAACACTGTGCTGGGGTTGGGGGAGGGGTTAGTTTATCCCAGGATAAACAAGGACATTTTTATCAAGATCCCCTTGTTCATTTATAAAATATATACATTAAAGTAAGAATCATTGAAAACAGGAAGATATCAGCCAATCAGGTCACAGTAGCCTTGTTAAAGGTTCACAGAAATTGCTGATAATCAAACTTGAACAAGGAGTTAAGGTAACAAGTCTGCCAAGCAAGTCTCATCATTATTCATTTGTTCCTTTAAATGATAGCATGTGGAAAGCATTCAGTTAGAGTGCCAAACGATACCAGCCAATCAAGTCACGTTAATTATGCATAGAGTTTGCCGATAATTAAACCTGAATAAATCAAGTTTCCTAAAAATCTCATGAGGGTGAGTACGAAGCAAGTTTCATCAAAATCTGACCGGTCCTTCAAAACATACAATGTAGAAAGCAGCATCCGAGGGTAATTATAGAAATCAGCCAATCAGGTCACAGCAGCCTCAGTAGATATACACAGAGTTTGCTGTTAATCAAACTTGGCTAAGGGATTAAGGTAACAAGTGTACTAACCAAGTTTCATCAAAATCTGACCAGTCCTTCAAAAGATGACATGTGGAAAGCAGCATCGAGACAGACAAAACCCATTTGAAAATCCGACACCAACTATGTTGGGCGGGACAATAATTAAGGTATATTGGTGGTTATAGATATTGAAATTTGGTTTTAACAACAAAATTCATGATCAATTCTCAAGCGTATGCTTAGAAACAAGCATACTATCCACATTCTAAAATAATTTGAGTCTGAAAGGTTGTAATTATCACAATATCAATGAAATTCAACAAAAAACAGAAGACCTCATAATTTTGTTCTAAATGGTCCCCAACATTGTCTTATCCAATTGAAACACTCCTTTCATTGATGACGAAGAAGCTCTGCCCACTTTTCAGTGAAGATATTTCAGGTCAGGATATATGTTGAGACATAATGAAAGGCTGCCGACGTTTGTCTGCTTGGATTATCTGCTTAAATTGTTGTTTATGTTGATTTCTGGTGTATATATCCTAAATTCGTCATGTCTATCTATAAATAGTAACAGTATTTGTTCTCTAACGTAGATCAGAAAAACAGACATCGAGGAGAGGCATATGTTATCTTTATCGACAATCTGACATTAAACCTACCTTCTAGAAGTAGAGAAAAGTGAATTGGAAAATGTCACAAACATTATCATTATCATACTCTTAGTCACATTTCAATGACAAATTTTAGTATGCCTTTATTACACATTCTCCAATGTCGATTTCAATCTTCTACCTCAAAAGGAAAGATGGTCACCATCTTTGGGCCAGCGCCAGAAACCATGACTATATCGAGAATTAGATCATGAATAATATCCAATGAAAAATGTGTATTGAACCATTATTTTAGAATATGGTATAAACTCGATAAGTACATCCCTGCCTGTAAGTACTACATGTGTAGTGGAACCATGGGCTTATCATTGTAAATCCACAGTATCATATTTATTCCTGTGTGAACTTCCATTAAACAGTTATAGTCCTGAGTATATGTAAAGATAAAGACCTGAGTATAATAGCTCAGCCTTGATCTAAATATCAACAATATTACTTTACATTAATCCTGGATATTTTTAATTAAAAAAATTTCAGGTTCTATGTATATATATATTTCAGTAGAAGGGATTATCGAGGCACCTAAATTTAAATACTGTTGTCAATTGCAGTTTATAATTTTGTCTTTGTTTTATGTTCTATGTATGTGATGTAACTTATGTAGTATTTGTGTCTTGATAAAGCAGTGGATAGCCTGTAAAATTTTAAAATTTGACAATACACCTGTTTGTTCTGTTGTTATTACATCATCGATCATATACATAAATCATAAAATCGGAAACCTCTCGGACTCCTCTACAGACACCGAGAAACTTTCTAAAATATACATGTATATATATATTTCAATATGAAATAACGAGAGGAATTGTCGCTGTTCACTGAACCATGACAAGATTGATGAAGAGGTAATTACAATCAATCATTTATTCGGGAGTATGCATGAGGTACTAAAGACAGTACGACACATTGAATTCCTGTCGTGTGTTGACTTTGCTCAGGAGCTGTAACGCTGTATCAGTTATTGATAACGCCACACTCAGAAGATCATAAATATGGTCACTTTAATGTTCCACATAAAACTACGATGTTAAAAACTATACGGTACCTCACTCTTCTCTGTGGAGAGATAAATTTACCAGGTTAACTCAGTAATAAGCCCAGGGACCAACACACATGTAACTCCAAGTTACAATTTTCTGGGGCCCATTTCAGATATCTATAATATATTATGGTGGGCTAATTACAGGACACTGAAATAGCAGATTTGTATCATCACATTATGACAATATATCTATAATATATTATAGTGGGCTTATTACAGGACACTGAAATAGCAGATTTGTATCATCACATTATGACAATATATCTATAATATATGGTGGTGGGCTAATTACAGGACACTGAAATAGCAGATTTGTATCATCACATTATGACAATATATCTATAATATATTATAGTGGGCTTATTACAGGACACTGAAATAGCAGATTTGTATCATCACATTATGACAATATATCTATAATATATGATGGTGGGCTAATTACAGGACACTGAAACAGCAGATTTGTATCATCACATCATGGCAATATATATATAATATATTATAGTGGGCTTATTACAGGACACTGAAATAGCAGATTTATACCATCACATCATGGCAATGTAAATCTGTAATATATTTTAGTGGGCTTATTACCAGGATAGGATTATAACTGGATGAATTTAGTACCCATATTTTAATATAATATGCTTGTCAACGTGTTTTAGGAAGGAATATTTTGTTAGGTGGTATATAAATGATATCTGTGTTTTACATGTGGTGGATATGATCAGCTGTTTTACATCACAGGACACGCAAGAAATCTGAACACACATGCATATCATTGAAAGTGTATGTTTTCACCTTGATAGCTCAGGGAGACGTAAAATTAGTGAACTATTATCACCTCTGCTTAACAAAAGATGGCAACAACTGTATAATTAATTGGTGTATTGTGACTTGTGAGAAGATTACTTTGAGTTCTGACAGCACTTATGTCACGAACATTAAAAGGTGTTTATGAATTGTCATCTATTTGATGCCATTCAAAAAATTATTGCATGACATTAAGCAGAATGTATGATATTATGCAAAATATAAATAGTACTTTCTTCATCTGGCATTTTGATAAACCCATATCTGATAACACATGAGACTATCTCTTCAGTAAAATTTTAACTTTAAGAAATACTTACTCATTGTCCTGCAATGAGCCCACATTTTTATTTCTGACCTGAGTTATGTGTTAAACTAGCCCTTGTATGGGCTTATTTTGCCAATAGGATATGTAACGTTTACTTATGAAATAATTGAGAACCATGGTATAAACAATCATAAACTTTTGAACAGGTTGATATTTAATTATACTAACCCTCAATTATTATCTATATATAGTAACAATTTAGAAATGGAAGTAATTCAAAGTTAAACAGAGAAAAAAGGTGATAGCCTTTACAAATGTATCTAACCACAAAACATTATAAAAACACACCATAATTCACCACACAGTTGATTACTTGTTTTTGTTTTTCTTTACAAGTGCTGTGATGTCCTGACCTGTTGACCTGTCTAAGCTTTGTACTGACAGTTGACATATATGGTCAGAAAAAGGGCGACTATTTCTGTCAAATGTAACCTTAATGTTTCACCAAGTTGATAGATCCATTTTGACAGGGGATTATCAAAAAATTGTTTCATCATTTATATACTTTTAACATTATGCTAATATATACATGTTTCTACAACAAAATCTGTCTTAATCAGTATTTTTCTCTTTCCTATAATGACAAACTGTTTATTTGGAATTAGACATCTCAGGTTTCTTTCATTTAAGGAAATTTCAAATCTGGAGCAAAATTTTAAAAAAATGTATAAAATGACTACAGCAAGAATCAGAAACTTGTAAACATGTAAAGATAAAAAAAACAAAAGGATATTTAAATGTTTCGTGTCAAACTTATAATAGATTCCTCATTTCAGGTAACATATGTTCAGAAAACTGTCAATTCTTCTTAAAAATTTCATTTTTTCACTTTCGGTGCTTTAATCTCTATATGCAATCATACATTCATCCTTTTTATCATTTGTTTATTTGTTTGTCCTGAAAATTTATTTTCTTTGGTAGAAATTTCTATTTTAGTGTTGAGTGACTCATCAGTGAAAATATGGGACATATTGCAAATTTTGGTAATTGATAAAAACTTCACCATCTCTACAAACACAATTAAAAGGTATACATGTAGTCACGATTTTGAAATTGTCAGGCCCAGTACACATGAACTGGTATCTTTGTTCCTGCCACATACAATGATGTAACTACAAAGTAAAACCAGTATCACACCCATCTGCTGCTTATCATTTCAAACACGTCTCCCTAGTAGGCAAATAAACTAAACAAAAGTAGGTCAAGGTCAAACTTCAAAATCCGATAAGAATGATATTTTTGTAAAAGTTAATTGTTTTGTTTCCAGAGATGTTTAGATGACTACAAAGTTAGGTCACAACTGTGGCCTTACAAATGCAGGTCTTTACCATATTTATGTGACAATTAGCCCATGCTTGTTTGTAACCCTGGTAAAACACTGGCCGCAATATACCACTCGGCTAGAGAGAACTTTTCTTTAGCTCAACT